AGCATTTCTTCTTTAATATTACCATTCAACTCAAAACGAACAAAAGCTAATAAATTAGCTTGGCCAGCAACGTCTGTGCTTTCATCCAGTTGCAGCGAAATATATTCACTTTGTTTTAAGACAGTAATAATAGCTATTTTCACATTTTCTGACATTTCATCAATTCTTCTTTTCACAGTCGTATTCGATAACGGAATTTCATTAATTTTTTTGGTACATTTTTCATCAAACAAAACATTACTTATTATTTTTGCTGTGGGAATAATAAGTTCTTCTCCCACAGTGTGAGCTGACCCCTTCTTTGCGATTAACAATGAAAGCTCATAAGAAACTTGGGTACTTGTTATGTTTTGTTTTGAAGATTTTTCCATGACTGATTTAGTCATAGAAAGATTTTTTTTCTTGATTTGAAAAAAATCGAGAGATTTTCCTACATATTCAGGATGTTTAGTTGATAGATGCCTTTCAAGTTTTGAAAATTTCATACATTCGTTGGATAGCGTTTAGAAACAAATCACACACTGCGGCATAGGCTCCTCCTCAGTACCAAAAAATACAAACCCGATTTTTAAAAAGTCAGGGTTATACTTACGAAAATATATTTTAGTTTTCTTTGTTATATTCAAACTTGACACATCAACAATCTCACTACTAGTAGTTCCACTACTACTAGTTCCTTCATCATTTGACAGCTTCGTCTTACGACAAGATCCAGTTCGAAACCAAGTATCCATATTTACGTGTAGCGTAATTAATAATATGTACTATGACACTATGTAGTATTATATGTAGTAACTCACAGCAGACACAACGACGCATAAACACACAACCACTGTCGCAAAATAACTAGTTTACCAATTTACGAAATCGAAAGACCTATTAAATTTATCGCAACCCGCACGCCGTGCACGTTAAATACGATAAAAATGACAGATAACAAGAACTTAATAATCAACGAACTATATAAGATAAAACTACATTCAAACATTCGATATCGTATCGTTAATTGTACACTTACTGTACACTATAGTTAAAATTGATTAAATATTATTATGATTAGAAATATAACAAAAAATATATAATAATATTATTTTAAATATATATAATATTTAATATTATACCTATGGCTCGCGGCCCAGTACAATGCTGCTCGCGGCCCATGGGTTGGGAACCGCTGATCTACTACATACGTAATAAGTGCAAATAAACTGAACGATTTTTTTCACAAATATTATCTATAGAATTACACGAAGTATGATCTTTATGTTTTATTTTTTTTTTTTTTTTTTTGTAAAACATCCGAAGCATTATAGTTATTGTTTATTTTCCAAATGAAAACTACTTAATAACGAATACTACTAGTACATAATTATTATACTATACTACAGGTCTGCAGTTAAACCGATTGCAATGCGCAAGCGTTTCTTTGCAAACAATATTGCAATAAACCAATAATGTAAGTATGTACTATGTTATATTTGGTTGTATAATTATAATACCTGACTGAAAAAAAAACCCGAATGTAAGAACGTACAGTTTGACTGAAGTTAACTTGCTGCGAATAATTTCCTGTTTACTTACAACAAACTACACTGACGTGCCATTAAGACCGACAATGTATTACCGCTAAGTGCAACAAAACTGACAGTCGCTTATTATATATATATATATATATATATATATATATCTATTTAATACGTACTAGGTGAAAATTACGATTGTTTACGTCTTGTTTATTCACGTCGTGTGATAATAATTAGAGATGTGGAATTTATCGCCGGTGAAAAATCGCCGGTAAATTTACATAAAATATTTACGTAAATTTCGGGGAAACAAACAGTTAAAAATAAAATAATACATAAACATTAAACATACAATACATAAACATACCCATATAGATATTATACAAAACTCATATTAATATTGGTTCGAGCAGGGCCTAAAATACATCTGATTTAAGAAGACATACTTCTTAGTTCAATTGTAACTTTTGACAAGTTTCCATAGCGAAAAAAAACTGTTGAGGTTGTAAAACCCGAAATTATCCCCCCTTCTATGTACCGCTTACCTTATACATTTATATAATTTATATGATGTTTGGACTAAAAATAAACAAAATATATATATATATATATAAGTAAAAGTTAAAATATTTTACTAATAGTTAAATGAACACACCGTAAGAAGAATAAAAACTTAAATAAGCTATTACCACAAATTCAAAATTACCTACATAGTACACAGTATATTTATAGACAGGAGGTATTTTCGTTATATTCACGATTAAAGATAGTACATCTTGGTTTTATAATATTTATAATCGTCGACTATGGTTAAGTTTATGATATATTTGTATGAAGTTGATAACGAGGAAGTTGTTATTAATTTATATTGAAATAAACAAGATTCATCTGTGTTGAAATTCCAAATTGTTTATTATTCCTACAATTAACACCAAAAACACGTTATAGAACTTGGGACGCACATTTAAAATTCACGGACACATTATGATTTTCAAGGGTCACAATAATTTAGGCCCTGGGTACAAGTTATATTTTAAATTAAATATTAAGAAATAGCTAATACCATTGTAGACGGGAAGTTGGGAAGGTAGGATACATAAAGTCATTTAATTTAAATCTGGACGCAACAATAAATCACAGCTGAAGAAATACGACCTGAATGAACTTCGCTTAAGCATCATGTTTTAAAATGCCGTGGTTTTACGGTTTTCGTCAAAATTTCAACTTAAAATACTTATAAAACAAATTACAGCATTACGTTCAAATTATTTATTTATTTTTAATTAAATACAATTTATTATAATAACTCTGTCAGATTTTTAATTATTTCTAATGAGCCAATAAAATTTCATCTATATAAAATCAAATTGAAATCAAAATAAAAACTTGAAAATGGTCAATGTTAAATTAATTTCTACAAATAATTATTAAAAAATTCGCCAGAATGTTTTCAAAATTTTACCACATTTCAAAAAGGCCATGATTATTATATATTATTAGATTTTCTGAATTCGTATGAAAACTGTTGGGAAATCAGAAAATAATTAACTAAATCCTAAATCCAACAAAATAAATCTCTTACCATTTTTTATTGCTGGTAGATTTCTGATAGAAAATTTGTTTACGAAACAGAAAAAAAAATAAAAATTTCACACGCATAGAAAAATCAATACGTTCCGTGCCGCGCACAGAATCTAAAAGTATGAAGTATGATTGATTGTTCGGTTTTGTTTTTTTTTTTTTTGTACAACAAAACTCGATTAATTAATTGCAATCGAACAAAGGTTGAACGGAACCCCCGAAAACGAAGCGCTTTTGAAGCGATCGGTAACATTGATAGTGGAACACTTCCGCACGCGCACGATAAACCACGTCCCGGCAAAGTTGAGTCAACCCGCCAAAATCGACCCACGACGCTAAAACGGATCTCGGAATGCTAATATCGTGACCCAAGCAAACGTTTGCATTTCGGTCGATTAAGTAGTCGCAGTGGCGACCTTGACAAAATATAGTATGTAATAATACGATATCGAGCGTTGACAGTAAACGCGATAGTAAATAACGTCCGGGACGATAATGTAACTCGCGATGTATATAAATTATAATAATGAGTTCGACACGAATGTTATTATTTGTGTGTGTGCACACGAATAAATTCTGAAAAATTATAGGTAGTTAGTGTAGGGCGGTTTTTTTTTTTAATGAACGAATTTACGATGACCTACTTTTTTTGTTTAGTTTTTAAATTTAAAAAAAAAAATGCTTTATATAACTACACGTATACCAACTCTATAAAACTAGAAAACCGCAGTATCGAAAGAGATATGACTTCCAGTTGATAAGGTTTATACCGTATTAGTACGATATCATATAATTCGTATACATTATACCCGTATATATTTATTATATAATACGAAAAATGTCATCCGTTCCGAGATTTGTTTGTCAAGTATTACAAGATAATATTTCGAGAAGATATATGTATCCTGCCTGAAATTACTGGAAATAGTGAAATGTATCTCATCAAGACGGACTTGGATTGAAATGAAGTTTTTTTTGAGGATGTCAAAATACAAATTTTGAGCCTATTTCAAAATGTTAAGCCTGCGGTGCGCACATTTTCATAAATATAAATGATATTTTTAACGCCATATTCGCATTGTCGTATTTTTATTATTACATATTATTAATTTTTTTTTTGTCAGGCGATTTTGTTAGGTTTGATTTTTTTTATTTCAAGAATTGTCCCGAGATATACAAAAATAAAACAAATACCAATTTTTTGAAAAATATTTAAAAAAATACAAGACTTTAAAAGTGAAGAAATTTATAACATTAAACGGCTACATTTTAGACGACTTTTTGGACAGAATAAAATTGTAAAGGTCAAAAATTGCTAGAGAGGAATATGCGGTACTTTTCAAACGTGACATTGAAAATATATTACGTTACCGTTCGAATAAATTTAAATTGCAAGCATCGTTAGAGTGAAAATTTTGTAAGTTAAAAAAAAATCACCAACTACAATCTATGTATGCAAACCATAAGAACGATAAAAAATATTATTGAAACATTTTTGAAATTTTGCATGGGCGACAAAATAAAAAATCATTGTCACGTCGATGAAATTGATATGACGTTATAATGCATCGTACGATCACGCATACTATAATGAAAATCGGTTAAAATCATTATTTTCGGCATGGTAATTCGCCGATCCGCTTAAAAGTGTCGTAAAAGTCGCACGTAAATTTATTATTTATATTATTAAGGAAACACGAACTTCTCTGTAGGGCGGGCGTACAAAGTTTTTTGCGAAACTTATCATAACGCGTTTAAAATTTTTCTTCGTTCCGGCACCACAGCGCGTGAAAGTAATATCGATTGTTCGCACGGTCAATTTATAATATTATTATTATACGAGTACCTGTGTAAAGGCCGGTGTATACATATATAAAGTGTATAAAACGCGAAAAACGTACGCGGAAAGTGAATGGCCTTTTTTTGTATTTTGTAAAAAGAAAAGAAAAATAGGGGAAGAGGGGCGGACGTAGGGGGGTAGATTCAAAAATTACAAAAACCAACAAATTACTCTGTGTCATGCGCAGATTTATACTCGTATTATAATAAAAACGTATACAGAAAAGTGTTAAAACAACGGCGGCGACGACGACGATTACAATCTATATAAATATGGCGCGTTTATTTAAACATATTTTCGGATGTTTATTTAATTAATTAATTAAAGTTTTTACGGTTTACTGCTTGCGAAGACACACTATATAGGTAGGTACTCTTTTATAATTTGTATTAACCGTTGTTTATTGCTATAACAATCCAGTACGTAGTTTATATACATTTGAATTCGTCGAGTTTCCGTATAATTTATAATGCAAAATTAAAATTAATACTATATCACGTTTTTTTTTTTTTGTCAAAAACTTTCATAATAGACGTGTTATATTAGGTTATTTACCTAAAACAATACGTGTTTAACTATCTCCGTTACGATAATATGAATATACAGGGTTGTTCAAAAATGATTCATCTGATTTCAAATGCTTATCGATTTTTAATTTTAAGTTTATAATAACATACAAAATACAAAAATGTATACATTAATTAAAATAAAAACGTTTAAAATTTGGTTAATTTTACCAATACGTCATATTCTATGTGGGCTTCTTTGGTCACACACGAATAATATCCAGTCGGTAATCGAATTCATTCCATACTTGTTGCAATACATCTCTTGATATTGACTCTGCCGCTATTGTGATGCAAACGTCACGTATCTTTTAGCTGCTGATACCATCAAAGTAATATGCACTGAGTAGTTTGCATCAATTCCGAAACGATGACAAAAGTCACGATGCGTTGTTATTACTAATCACATTTTGAAAATTGCAATACATAAAACGCTTTGTGTTGTCCAGTCGACATTTTTGCGGAGACTAACTTATGGCCGTAAACGATAATGATTTCAAAATATCGAATTAATAACGTCCGAAAACTTGAAATTATCCTCTATAGTTGGCATATAATTTGATAAGATACTAGAGATTTGTTCTCTACCGTCAGATACACCACTCCCTGTATTCTACAGTAGCCGAATGGTTTGCGGCCTGGGTATGTTGAAAACTTCATGAGAAGCATCTCTACAACATAAAGCAATAATTTAAAAAAAAATCAAAAGTACAAGACCAGCATCTGCAAGCGGTACGCGACTTTAAAGCTGAGGAAATACAATATTTAATACGTCTAGGAGAAGTTATAGGCAGAAATATGCGTGCAATCCGGTCGGATGTTCCACTATATACTATCAACAATTACTGTAAGTCTCAACTTGTCCCTATGTATATAAGTATTGATTAGGTATGCTGTGTCTATTAGCAACTCACGTAGTGATTAGCTCGCTTTATTTATTTATTTATCTAATAAAAGTTGTTTCTCTCTACAAACGAAATACATGATTATATGTTATTAACTTATTAAAATTCATCATAGCTCAACGCTAGCAAATTTTTCGTACCGTATCATAATAACATTATTTCTGGTTTATTTTCGTTTGAAAATGTATACGTCCCTAACCCCCGAATCCTCGGCCCCCTCTCTTTTTGCATATAGAGTTATACCTACCTACCGATAATAATTAATAGCCTAAAACGGGAACGTCCGAATACCTGTACGATCGTCGGCCGTATATGTGATTAGCCGTCCGAAATAAACGACCCTGCCGGCCGATAAGTGCGATAATCGAGAGGGGAGGGTAATTAATTTTCGAGTCGGGTTCACGCGTACTCGTATTATGGGAGGGTCCCGACCTGACGGGGGCAGTAATGAATTTTCGTTTTCCCCAGAGTCGTCGCCGGACCTACCGCCACCGGTTGGTTGGGTATAAAACATAGTACATTGTTATAATATATTATTATTACTATTATTATTATTATTATTATTATTATTATTATTATTATTATTATTATCATCATTGCCGTACCGCGGCGAAGGGAAACAAATATCTCACTGAAATGTTATCGGCCTTATCTCGTGCGGACGGGTCGAATTGAATCCAATTCAAGGGAGGACCTGTACGCAGTTTATCCGGCCAAAGGTTATTACATGATAGGTAATATACACATATACGCTGAGGGAATGTGCAGGAGAACAAACGAGGAAATCGTGCAATAAATACATAGATTAATGTAGAGTGAAGTGAAAAATTAGTATAGCTGACCCCGTTACCAGCGTTGGTTAGAAAAGGACAAAAAGTAAAAAACACATCGATTGTACAGGGAAAGCCTGTACTTTTCCTGTGAAAATTATCAAGGGAAGGTGAAAAATCGCAAAAAATACAATGTTTAAATTTAGAATTAATGTATAGGTAAATAGTTTTTTACTTTTTTTTTTGAAACATTTAATAGTTTATAAACCATGAATAAAGCCGTAGGTGTATTTAATTCATACAAAGGCATTTCAAAGTCGAATAATAATATATTTTAGTTTATGATAAGACAATTTGAAAGTTCAAACGTCTGCAGGAACTAAGGTGACGAAAGCTGCGGAAATTTGAATTATTGACTTTCAGTGGATTAGGTCGAAACTTTGCTAATATAGCATAGGGAGCCACAAAATATTACGTTTACATTGACCTTTTATCCGACTTGATAAAATTTAATGTTTAAATTAGATATAACTATATAATTTTAAAATCGTTTTCAAACTTAGTAAGATTTTGCTGTGGCAATACATTTTTGCAAACTTTTTAAAAGGTATTTAGCCAACATAAGCATAAAGCATTTTAATGTATTTAATTTCCCATAAAAAAGGTCCACAATATTATGCTATTATTATTTAGTGTTATCATTAACTAAGATGTTAATGTATTAATCCGGGTCTTCCGCTGTTTGTATATAGGAATTTTAACATTATATATCATTTATCGTATTATTTTCACTCGTGAAAGCGCTCGTAGGGTTTATTATACAGGGTGGCTCGACTTAAACCTAAAACGAATACAGCCTTGGATGCAATCAGTTTTATCGTTAAAGGTTAAAGGGAGGATAAAAACAATGCCACGGTCGGTATATAGTGGACTCATAAATATTTAAATTTGAATTTCCTGACCGACAATCCCGTAATCCTTATCCCCTCGTCCTTCGAGTACCTTTTCTTTACCGCATCTGTCTTTCTTTCTCTCTTTTCCAGCTATTCGACTCTGCGTCTTTCTCACTCGCGCGCACTCTGCCTTCGCCTACCTATTTGCATTTGCTCCGCCCACCTGCCCACTCCACTCGCTCTATCTATATGTTCTCGATTTTCGTTTATAGAGAACAACTGATAAATACAATTTCACCAACGATTCTAGTCATATTAAAACATTCATAATTTCGTAATCTATTGTCTTTTATAATTATACACTAGATCTATTATATATATGTACACATTATATAATAAGTATACACAGCGGTAGCGGTGAAAACGACGGAAACAATACTATTACTAACTATGCGCGTTCTGAATTCGTCGAAAAATAATTGACATAATATTATTTTATCCGATTTTGACGCCAACGGTCTTGGGGGAGAGCGAAAATGATAATTGTCATGTTTCTCGACTGGTGGTGTTATTAATAACATAATATTATGACAGCGAACATTGATGACCAACATAGAAATTTATATAAACAAAATAAAATCAAGTGTTATTCTGAGTGTCTTTAACGGGTCCACTATAAACACTGTTGTATATTTAGTGGTAATAAAATCCGAACATGTTATTCCGAATTTATACTTCACTTACATTTATATCTTAGATTCAAAGCGGAGCGATTAGTGTACCGGGCCTTGGTTGTACTATAAAGTTTGCGATTTTTTTTTTTGTGTTTAATTGAATACAGACTGTACAGAAATCTATTGTCAATTTGTTATAGTTTTGTTTTAATTTGGTCAACTCAGTGTGGACAGTATGTTTTGTTTTTGTTTGGTTATTCCAAACAAAAAAAGTTGACATTTTGTTTTGTTTTTGTTTTGTTCCCGTGCCGTCTCAGCGTGGACCCGGCAAAAGAAGAAAAAATCTGAAAACAAATTTATTCGAAATTCTCCCGAAAAATCGCTGGATCGTGATAACGGATTATTCTGTATCCTCTATATGCTATATCTTTAATTATTCGTGTTTCGCGAAACAGAGCACTCGTGCGAATCGAATAATAATATAAGGCACGTGTACGTATACTTTCAGAGTAGTATATTTTATAGTAGGTACAATTAAACAGTTTGCGTATTAATTCGACCCAAACCACTTGTTTATTGTGCAAGCGGGATGAATGCAACTCCTAATAGTTCTCTGCGAACTGTATTATGTAGAATAATATCGCCATTTATTTCGTAGACTCCAATTGCATATTATATAGGGTGATAATCGAAATCGTTGAATATGTTAAAATTAACTGCGCGTTTTGAAAACGGCAAACGATACTCGGTTTATACGGAACCGGAATCCCATTATTTTAAATGGACGCTCAGAAATATTCACGGACTCGTAACGGATATAAAACGGCTTTTAATCTCGGCGGTTTTAAATAATTAAACGCATAATTCTATTATATAAACGGAACGAAGGGTTTGAAAAATAAGGTAGACTTAAAACAAATATTTCCCAGTGCCATATTTATTTTTTTTTTTTATTTCCGACACTTTCTTTTTAAATATTTTGTCGTTATATACACGTAGACGCAATATATTAAAATTGATTGTGGATATACATAATTTTATTACAATCCATAGTTCTAGCGAAAACATAAAATAGCAGAAAATATATATATACATATTATTTTTTTTTAATATACTATTTTTTTTATAATTAAATTCTTAGCTGATAATTGATTTAACGAGAAATTTAATAGTATAACAATATAATGGTAAGTTTAAATCGGGTCACGATACGGAAAAAGGGAATAATTCGTTTTGTCAATCGCAAGCAATGATATATCTATATGCCGGAAGAAACATTTATGTAGGTATAAGCTTAGCAAAATACGTTTTATTGACAGAAAATCGTTTTTATGCGAAATAATGAATAGAACAGTAGATTTTACTAATGAATCGTGACTAAATAAACAGATAATAAATAATAAAATGGTGTTATCTTCATCGCTGTACATGTGTACCAGAGGTCATGACTTGGATAAAACGGTACAATAACGATCTGTTCTCGGCAATAACCATTAACCGTGATCAGCACAAACCAATAACATCAAATTATTTCGTTTCCATGGTTATATCGTTTATTTAAATTCTAGGACACACCCATTATGCACAGAACAATATTTTGCTAATACGCCTGTTTTTAACTAACAATAAAACGGATATAAATAATATTATAATAAGAATTTTTGATTATTAAACGACGTAATGTGTCGTTTTAATTTTTTTTTTTTAATTATTATGAGCTGTTATAACTAGAGAATTTATTCCCGAAACGATCTTTAAAAATAAATACATTCATTTATGCTTTCTGCAAAACCGAATCTCAACAAATCTTTAAATACGTTATCAAAATATACTCAGTTAGATTGACTCGATCATTAAGATATTCTTAAAAAATAAAAAACAATAAAACCGATACTGCTGATAGATGTATCATTGGTTTTACGGTTGGTTGAGAAGGAAGAATACATTGAATAATTTTATTTTTTTTCTGTACGAAACGATAAATCATCGCTAAAATAATTGTTGTTCATTTCGTGACTTCGTGATTTTTTGATCACATTCCCAATCTATTTATCTTATGTTTATGATATGGGCAGAAGCTGATATGTTATTTCAGTGTTTTGGTGCCAAATGAAACGAGTCCCAAAAACGGTTCAATTATTTAAGAAACGACACATAGAATCAATTTATTTTGTCACAGAAGAACGAGAACGGAAACAAACGTTAATGCAGAGAAAAACTAAGATTTTCGTTCTTTTGCGCAAAAACTTAACAAATTATAAATCATAATAGTTCTTAAAATGGAAATATTTCCACATTACATGATAAAACATGACAAAAATAAATCGTTTCAATTATATAATATCAGAAACTTAATAATTGTTAAGATAATATAATCTGTCAATCTGATAATTGATAACATACATATTACCTGTATGAACCTTAATATTTAACTGCTAATGATTTATTCTTGCTCTCGGTGTATAAGCTAACACTTAAATAAGCTTGCTTTCCATGTCTTCCATACTTTCTACCTACAACAGTAGTTTTTCGTAATATTATTATTTCTTTGTTTTTTTTTTTTTTTTTTTTTAATTTAGTACGAGAAAGGCTCATGAATTTTTTTAAAAGGAAGCTAAAGTAACGAATTTTTTTTTTTAAAGAATCAGGAATCGAAAAAATTCCCTTTTTAATGCAAGGAATGATACACGGAACGAATTCCTTTTTCAAAGGAACTACATAAACATTGGGTTATTTAATATTCCTATATTATAAACACCGATTTGATTTGTTTTTTTTTTATACAGTGGCAAAATAATAAACTAAGTTTCTATACAACATAGTTCATATTTTTATCGTAAAAAGTAAGTATTCCTCGTTGTTTTCGTGCCACGGGTTTCAAAGAACCGTAATATCCCACGAGTATTTATAGGATTCAGACGAATACGAAAACTTCCCCGAAAGTCTTTCATTCATTTTTTTTTTTTTTGCAGATGTATACGTGTAAAATACGACGAGGGGATATAACTATTTATTTTTTTTTCAATTTTACGCTTCGTTTCCACGTTTCGCTGTATATTGTAATTAGTTCAATGGCCCGGTTTTCTTCTAGAAAATATAAACCCTACGGGCCTTATTATTAATAATTAACGTAATAAATAAACGACCCACAGTGACGTTTCGGTGTTAATAAATTTATTGTTTATGAATTATACCACGATAAAGAATCCGTTAATAAGTTTAAAAAAAAGAAAGGAAGAAAAAAACCAGTGAAAATAGATTTCGAGCACTGTCGAACGTTACGGAGACGACCAAGGGGTTTAAACAGACGAGGTTCAGAGAAAAATTCGTCCGTATAATGTAATTGAATTTGTTTTCATTGTGTGTACGTATACCTGTATATTGTACATTATATACGTGTATAGGTACCTCGTGTATATTTGAATGAAATTGAATTCCGGGACAAAATCGAATCATGCTAATACTTATAAATAGAGTACTTTAGTTCAATCTTAGCATTGATTTTGATCCGACGTGAGTAACGAGCGATAATTTATAACTCGTTGGTGCTTTTAAATATACGTATATTATACATATTGTAATGTCGTTACTGACGCGAATAATATTGCGCAAATGCATAAAAACTCGAGCTTTTCCCAACACACCCCAAAAAAAGGTTTTTTATTTATTTAAAAACAGAATCTTATCGTTCGATTACGATAATAGAATTATAATTGTGTAGGAATCAAGGAACTTAAAGAAAAACGTTTTTCAATAATAATTATCTATCGTATCGCTGTGGCCTAGTGTTTGCGTCATAACGCTAGAAATAATATCGGGAGTGTGTATTATTTTAGATTCTAAACGTAACGCGTAATGCATGTAATTTATTTTCCTGTCTGTTAAAAATTGTTCTACTAGAAATCTTGCTCCCGATCATCGACTTCAAGGACGGTCTGTAGTAACAAATAATATGTGTAGCCAGTGCATTAGACAGATCATTCTTGCTCAAAAACTTGGCACGAGGTTCGCCGTAATTTTTATCCGCCTAAAAGCAAATAAAACCTAAAAAGCTGTCTTAGGATAATGGGAACGAGTGCTGTTGGTAAGAAGTTGGGACGGTAAGATATAAAGGAGATATTAAATTGTATCTGTAAGTAGTGGTTTACCGTTGCTAGCGAAAAAACGATTCTAAGCGGACTTCAGTTGATAATGTTGCTTTGTCGACTTTATCAATATGTCATATTATGGTAAAATGATTACAACAATGAGCGTTTCCATGACAACTATGATTGTTTAAAAAAAAAAAATATTAAAATTATAAAAAACTCAATTATAACAAAAATAAATATGAACGGTTGCCAATGACAACCTTATATTTAACCAATAAATTCCTTGCTTCACTCAAAATCTATAAAATTTTAACTGTAACCGTTATTGCGTTATCGTATGGTACACGCAAAGGGGTATTGTTTCCCTCGTTGTTAAGAAAACTACAAGAAAACTTGGCCTATGTTATAATGTATCAACAATAAGACAACCAGATCTACCAGAAACCCGGTGGTAAATGTTTTGCTTTTCCAGGTTATGCTATCCGTCTGCCGGTGTTTCACAACAGTTTACAAAACCAATAGAAAAAAAAGACGACGCATAACAGTGTATAACATATTATAGAAACGGTGAATTGATTAAAAAAGAAAAAAACGAAAGCAGTAGCAATAATATTATGACGACAATAAAAAAAAAATTTCTCGTCTAATCTATACGCGACGTTTCATCTCGAGGGTGCACGAAAAAAACATGGGTTCGTCGCTACACGCTCGGACGTAGACAATATTACGGTGCCGGGGGCCGAATGGATTTCTTCGCTCCCCTCAAAGCACTCTCATCATCCCCCCCCCATCCGATCCTCCACCCCGTACTCCGCGCCACCGAAGTCTTATATTAAATTATAACGGGGGTTCCGTGCGCGAGGAATCCTCTCGCCTCCATACGCCCCCTATGGTATACTATAAATAAATGTCAAACGCGCGGATCGGCATTCGATTTATCGAAACGCGCCCGTTCAAATGTCGTTTATTTTCTGCGCAACCGACAGAACTCGTTACCGCGATTTATATATCATTACAATATTATGTTATTGCAGCGAACGTCGCGCGTACGAATTATCGCTTTCTAACCGACACGTCCGTTTCGTTTGTTTCAGCTGAGCAAGGACCTGGGATACCGGATATACTCGGCACTCGGCTCGTTCTACATACCGTCGTGCATCATGGTGTTCGTGTACATCCGGATATACTTCGCGGCCAAGGCCCGGGCGCGGCGGGGAATCCGGAAACCACCGTCGAAACCGAAGAAGGGCGCGGCCAAAGCGGCGGCCAAAGCGGCCAAAAACGCGGCGGCGGCCAGCCCGTCGACCGTGTCGCAGACGACGAGTTTCATCACGCGGCCACCGCTGCAGCCGTTGGCCGCGGACCTGACCGGCATGTCGTGCGTCCGGTCGCCGCCAGCCACGCCGGTCAACGCCACGCTACCGGTGATCGCTTGCGATTACGCGAGCGACGCGAGCACCAGCGACGTGAGCAAAGACGGCGACAAGGACACGCTCAAAGTGTTCACGACGCAGGGCAGCCGTCGGCTGACGGTCAACGGCGACCTGCAGGGACCGGGGGGCCGGTGTCGGGCGTCCAGCGTGGCCGTGGACGCGGACATGGTCAGCGAGCTGGAACCGTCGTCGTCCGACTCGGGCAATGTGCAAAAGTGTGGCGTCGTCAAGCCGGTCAAGTCGCGGCTGTGCAAGCCGATATTCGGCGGCCGGAGCAAATCGGCCAAAGCGGCCGCGGCGGCGTCGGCCAAGGCCAAGCGCGACATACTCGACACGGGCAGGGTGTCCATGGCCAGCCGGTGCGGTGGCGGCGACTTGTCGCCGGCCGCGTCCGCGGCCTGCGCGTCCGGCTCGTCGGGCGCGGGAGCGGGCGGCGCCTCGTCCGTCGGCGGCCTGCCGCCGCGACCCAAGCCGCGGGACCCGGAGCGCGAGAAGCGGCGCATAGCGCGGAAAAAAGAAAAGCGCGCCACGCTCATACTGGGCCTGATCATGGGCTCGTTCATCGCCTGTTGGCTGCCGTTCTTCTTCATGTACATACTGACGCCCCTGTGCTCGGTGTGCTACATACCGCCGCAGGCGTTCACCATTGCGTTCTGGCTGGGCTACATGAACTCGGCCATCAACCCGGTCATCTACACGATATTCAACAAGGACTTTCGCCGCAGCTTCCGACGAGTGTTGTTCAAATGATGACGGGCCGTGTTTTCAGATTTTTTTTTTCTTTTCTTTTCTGTTCGTTATCATTGTTATTATTACGATAATTTACCGAATATTATTTCTGTACGAAATAATAACAACAATTATTGTCCATGTGTACATATACTCGTTGATATTGTTATTATTATTGTTGTTGTTGTTCTGTTCGCGGTATGGGCCCCGAACGCGCACAAACACGACACGGCCGCAGCAGTGCGGCAAAAAACCGCGTAAACTTTTCTCTCGTGGGTTCGGAAAGAAAAAAAAAAATGATAACAATAACAATAATAATGCGGTAGGTAAATACTATGCATTACGTTTATACCCCATAACATGTATGTTGTATTTGTTCGATGGCTTCGAGCGACACTCGACAATTTCGACGATTCACCGCGGGCAGTTTGCGCAACCGATCCCGAACCAAACACGTGCACACGCACTGCAAACTGATATAATTACACTAAAAAAAAAAAACAAAAAAAATATAGTCGCATGCGTGTAAAACGTAGTCGGTAATCAACGTAATATCCCGCGGTCACGTGCACGTAATCGAAAAATCCCTCCCTCGGGTCGTCCGTTAAAACGGCATCGCGTTTTTATCAAATCCGTACCGTTCGCTATGTACGTATATAATACGTATTCAGAGGTCTAAGACGGAGAATATCACGTATTTATATGGGTATATGTGTACGGGGCGATCGCCGTGGTAGCGCGGGCAGGATTTTTTTTTTCCGGGAGGGGTTTTTAGTTTTTAAGAACTCTGTAGAGGGAAACAGCGCATGTATTAATATGATACAATACTGAATGAATGATTGTTTTGATCGAATTCAATTTTATTTTATTCCGTGGTATAAGATAACATATGTTTTTGAATGCGTAAAACTCGATTTAAAAAAATTGCATTGAAGAGAAAAATTTCGGGAGGGGTTATGACCTCTTAACCCCCCCTCTGCATGCACCACCGGGCAATCCGTTTATTCCTAACCGCCCTGTGTACGTTATTCGTGTTGCGTTGTACCCGTAGTTTTCCGTACGGAAACACATTACCGAATCAGGTGGAAGGGGTTTAGGTGTTCAACCCCTATGCCGCCAATCTCGACGTTTAAAAAACGCACCACACTCTATATACGATTCAGTTAAAAACGTTCAAATGTTGTGTTACTTACTGTTCTTCCCCCCCACCCGAAACCCCCCTCCCATCGATATATGTTTTACGTGGACGCACAGGCGATCCCAGAACCAAGATCCTCTCAATCTAGACCGCTCGTAATTATTTCGAGTTTATGTTTATCAAACTAAGTGATGCGATATGTAAATCAACGACTTCACGTTATAACGCGAAACTTTGAATTTTTTTTCAATTGTTTTGAAACTATAGCTGCTGATCTCGAACCAATAAGACACTATCGGAGTTTGAACGTAACCACGAAATACTTTCGGCCAAAGAGAGAGAGACGGCAGTAAAAAATATGACGGGTATGAAAATTAAAATTTATTTTAAGAAATCGGAAACAAACAAAAAAAACAAAAACAAATACTTCATTTTAGATAGGGTTGATACGGAATAACATATAAAGCGAAAGAGGGTTTTTTGTTAAAAATTTCGCATAGATCAATCTCCGTGGCGCAGTAAGTGCATAATAAAATATATCGGCTGCATTGTTGTATTTAGAATACGATTGAAACATTTACGAATTTAAAACCATAAAAATCGAATGTTAAAATTCCGCACAAATAATCACTTCCATTCCTGCTGGACATCGGCCGAATAGGTCAGCTGTAAGCCCACTTCATGGTGAATAAAAAAAAAATTAAATAATAAACAAAAATTTTTTAATACACCGGTCTATTTACAATCCAGTTACAAAACACCGCCGCGCTGAGCGTCTCACGTTTTACGATATGAATATGGAAATATTTTTCAAATGCCTGCGTTTTAAACCGTGTACACTCGTTCGTATTGAAAAACTCAACGACGGAAACTTTAAATGTCATACGCGCTGCACATTGTATAGCCTAATTATCGTCAGAACATTTCATTGTTTCTATACACATCCGTATACAGTGTGTCCGTGTTTCTGGGTAACCAATGTTTAGACCCGGACATTTTTTCTAGGAAGAGCACTAATAAAATTATAGTAATGACTTTTGTTTTTATTTTTTTGCTTACCTACTCTCTTGCTAAAACCAGTCAAATTTGTTTAATTATTTAATTAACGATTATTTTACTCACATTTTACATGGAGGGAGAGGAATATCACCCTCCCGTCATATATCTGGATTCAACACTGCAGATAATACTAGCAGCGTTATGTATTATAATTTGAATTCCATTTTCGGTAGGTGTCGGGGTTACTGAAATGGCGCACGTCTATCGGATACATTTTTAACGTTCGTAACTTTTAAATTGATACTATTTATTTTTTTACCTCGAAAACGACACGATACGCAGCTATCTAAAATTGATTAAAAAATATGATTTTTTTTTTTTTCAATATTTCAAACAATTTAAAACAAAGAAATTTGACAAATGTTCGGGTAGGGAAAAAAACAATTTGTTAAGATAATCATTAAACAACATAGGTACTTAATAATACCTAATAGTTTTAAATTTTTTCAAATATCGGTATAAAAATAATATTTTTCGACTTAATCCACTTTAAATAATTGTAACTCGGGTAATTTTTAAAATAATAAAAAATATTATTGATCATAGTCACTTGAAAAAATGTTTCAAGTGAATACGGCACTATTCGGATCAATTGCCATTTGAAAAACGTCATTTGTACTGCATATATGCACGCTCCGAAATGGTTGAAAATTTGAAATGTATCCTTCATTTCAGTACCCCTCATCACCTCCCGCAAATGGAATTCGAATCCAAGGTTATCCGGCCAAAATATTTAGGGTTACCTGTAAACGTGGACACCCTGTATAATATATACATATTCGTGTTACGTAAAATCCAAAGTGCACTTAGACAAATTGCACATGTTTAAACGCGTGAACAAAAACAATATTATGGCTAGAAGAATTCGGTTTTTTATTATTATTTTTTTTTGTTTTAATAAAACATAATACAGCAATAAATACCGTGTAAAATACCATAACAATCACCGGCGTATATAAAATAATAACAATATGATAAACTTATCATTTTTGATTGTTTACAACATTGAACGCGCTTTAATCGGTTTTATGATATATTTATTTTAAAGGATAAAAAATTAACTGGGTGTAATATTTTACACGAGCTCTTCCGAATATTGCATATTTAGTCGAACACTTATTTTTCTTACGTGAAAACTTTTTGAAATCGCATATTCTAAAACAGTTAAATCGTCCTCTTTTTTCTTTGTCCTTATTTTGCGATGGTGAAACTATCAACTTTTGATTTTCAAATCTCATTCTTTGTCGAAAATTCTATATTTATATAGATATGTATATTTTATCGTTGAAATTTTTGATTTCCGTCGACCCGTTGACAAGACGTTCAATTTCTAAGTTTTGGTAGAGGGGGAGAGTGATAGAGTACTGCCACACAATTGATGCTTCACTTCTCCACTGAAAAAAGTTCTTGAATAATTAATTTTTTGAAAAAAACATGTTTTTAATTGAACTATTCAACTGTAATATGGAATATGTAAGACCCTGTGTAGGTGTTCGATAGCTGATAAGTATAAATTTTTTTTTTTTCTGCTAGTTATATTACCTCTAGATTCTATCAACTTCCCGCTTCCTTAATTTTTTTGTATTCATTAATTACGCAATATGAAAAACAATAAAATCATTTAAAAGCTAAATTTTTTCTCCAATTAATTATATCACAAAATATAACGATTTATAAATGTTTAATCAATGGTTTTTTATTCTCTATTTCTTTTTAGTAATACTGTAGTTAACAATTAATCACACATCTTTAATTTCAAATCGAAAAGAAAAAAAAAATGACTCGACTCCCACTTAGAATATCAGCTCTTCTTCCATATTATACCTACTCATGCAACGACTTCTCCAAGGTAATACGTATTACATTTTTCAAAATAATAACAATAATATTATATTCTAAATTTGAGTTTTTCTCATCTGTAACTAATTTAAGTAATCTGTATCTTTATTTTATATTAATAACTTTGGTTTTTGTATTTAAAAAGAAAAACAGACAATCAAAAACACAAAATCAATAGAAACGAAAAAAAAAATTTATTTAAAATTTGAATAAAACATAATTGTGAATTTACAATACGCATGCGCTCGTCTAGTATATATAGCTTCAAGAATAAATCAGAAAAGAAGCCAATTACGCTGCATGGCAACTGTTATTAAATACATCATTTAAATATTCGTTTTTTTAAATATTAATATCAAAAGGCCTATTTCGTTATTAAATATTCTTTCGAATGTCTATTTTAATGACGAACGTAACCTTATATGTAGCTGTCGATACAAATAATATTATTGTGTTTATCAAGTAGACTAATTTTCAACGAAAAGGCAAATGTTCACTGATCTTATGAAATATATATAAATATAAAACTATTGTTAGATGGTGATTTGCCACTACGGATATACTATTGTAGATACTACTGTCATACGACGATCTATATTGGATCATAGCGTTGAACGGCACCGAATGACCTTATCGAAATTGTTGAAAAGCCACATCCTGCTAGTGCCTTCTACAGTCATTATTATAGAAATCGTATACCATTATAAATAATCATAATAATAACCACCCAACCGGGGTTGGTAATTTATACATAGATAATCTATTACCTATGATTTTATAGCGTTACACCCTTAGATAATGTACAATGGATAGAACTGTAAGCAATAAAACGCGTCTCCAACACATCACAATCTACCTAGTGAAGTATCACAGAATCGTAATAAACAGATTGATTATTTTATCATGGGCCAACAATTATCTCAGAGGATTTTAAGTGAATTTGATTTCTGTTTTTTCTAATCGTTATGTTTTATTTTAAAACCAGTTTTAATTTTTACACCCACTCCATTTACCTTGAAAAGTGCACACTTTTGATTTTCAAATAGGAACCCCCTCCCCTTTTGTCCAGAGAAGTAGGGAAGGGTAATAAATTGCTTATCTATGACCCTTCTCTACTCCTCCAGTCTAAACTTTAAACTGTCATAACTCATAAATGATGAATCTGATATCAGTGTTATGCAAACCAAAATTTCTAGAAAAATATTCTTTATTCAAATCTGTGTTTAAAAGGGCGATTCCTTTTTTAAAATCAAAAGTATGAACTTATTTAAGGTATATGGAGTAGGGGTAAAAAATTTAAAATGGTTTTAAAATAAAACTTAACGATTTCATAACGATTAGAAAAAACAGAAATTTAATTCACTATTAATCCTCCGAGATAATTGATGATTCATGTTAAAAAAAATCACCCTGTATAACTGAATATTCAGTATAGGTTTTAATGGTACCTATTATGAGGAGGACGATGCATGCATATTAGCTACACGTCCTCCTAATATGTTTTCAGCATACTCGTTTCATATGAAGTTTAGCCGTAGCTCTGTCCATTGTATGTGATCTAAGGTTACACCTATAAAATATTACTAACATGACGTGACATTAGTACGACACGACTTTTTTGTATTTTTGTTAAAAACTTGTGGTACCTTTATATTATTATTGCTCATTGGGCAACCATAGCATCTATCTCCATAATCACTACAGAGGATTTTATTAAAACTGTGGAATACTCCAATTCGGTGCAATCTTTAGTTTTAAATTTAATACGCCGCCACTGTACCGCTATTATTTTCATAAATCATTCGGTTAGCCCTATGGTCCACCGAGAGCGCTACTATACGACGGAGTAAATGTTAAATATGATAAGGATTGTATTTTTGATCGGTAACGATATTCTATACTTATAACCGTATTATTAACGTCACGTAACGACCTATGAAAGATTAATTGTAGTTATCACTATTAAAAGTGTGAAATAACATTTTCGTTTACGGGATTACACGCATTACCTAATAATGGCGTGTTATAAAATGATCGGTTTTATCACAAACGATTGTTTATTTGTTTTAGTTTCAAAACATGCCCGAATATAATCTCAGAGAGAAAAAAAAAATCAATTCTCTGTTGTGGGTTAAGTCTGAATATAAAAAGGCGATAATGAAAACCAGCCGAAGCTCAAATAGAAACCATGTACTCAACATTATTTTATAATATTATATTGTTAATTTAATTTCGCTTTGAATTCTAAATACTGTTCGACTATAGGTAACTACCCCATTCATTGGCGCGAGCAGGATTCAAATTCATTCCTGGGCACATTTTCGGAACAATAAATCACTAAATAGATGACGTGCACGGCGTACGCTTTTTTAAAAAATACAAATAAAAATATCTTAAATCACAAATTAAATTATGCGACTACGTAGTATTGGTAAAAATCTCAAATGTTCACTAAGGAGGTTTAACCTCTATTCCGGGCTACGCCGCTGATCGTTATATTAGACACGTTTTGACGAAAAAAAAAATAATAATAACAATCATTTTGAAAATATATCGAATATTATACGCGCGTAATAGTTATTTTCCAAATTACAGCTAGGTATAGTCTCACGTAAAATAGTCTCCGAAAATAAAAATGGAAATTCCTCGATACGAAAATATTACGTTTGTGTTGCCGATCACGTATCCTGCAATAATATATACGCCGTGCCGGTGAATGTCGGGTTATATACGGGTGTAACCTTTGTTTTTATGAAAATTTCGAAAAATTAAAACGAAAAATACGTTATAATATTATGTAGGTATCCTATTTCCGGCCGCGTCCTTGGGGTATGTGTCCTAATACGTTATACCGAGTAGATAAGTTTTCTATCATTTTTTTTTTTTTAATTCGCCCATGATTTGTATGCGTATGATAATCGACCATCGAAGTGACTAAATGCCGGGGTATACCGACATAAAACAAAATATGTCGTGGAACCGAACAGAGAAATAGCTGTACAAAAGTAAAAATAAAAATAAATACTAATGCGCGCCCACGAAACTGACGACTAATCGATGTAAAATTAGATAACGTGAAATATAAATTAAGGGCCCGGCGGAAGAAAAGTATGATATAGTAAAGTTCATTTTTGATAATGATGTTCGACAGAGCAAAACTTCTCCTACATGCGGTTGCGTAGACTCGTGCATTATTTTTTAATCGACAATCCGATGTTTTACCTTAACACATTTTACCTTTTAACACTGTCCGACCGAAACCTCATACCGCCGCCGCCGAATGAAACTAAAACTAAAACATGTGGTCTGAACAGAAAATATCGGAAATTATTCGTCGTAATCAAATTCAATAAATACCTAGGTACCTAAAACGTTTTACACGCATTTTTTTTTAATGAAACTCAAACTCCTACAAAACCGTACTGATTGGTGTGAACAGTTGCAGATGTCTACTGCGGTTTTATTATTTTTGTCGAACAGAACAGTAATATTATATTACTGCACAGCGTGTAAATTACGTTCGAGCGGATGCTTGATAAGCCCGTTTATTTTAATATATCCATAAAAATGTTTATTTGTTACATATTAAACCCGTGCTGAAAGTTTTTGGAAGAAAATATATTATAAATAAAAATAATGTAAAAATGTTTGTATTATAAAAAAAAAGAAAGAAAAACCATTCGAAATATATATACATATATATTTTTTTCTTTTCGCTTTATTGTGGGTCCAAAAAACAAAGAGGACGTTAACGCTTGAGCCTCATGCAATTTATTTATTCTTTTTTTTTTATACAGTACATACAATACTAATATTATTATATTATATACAAATTAATTCAAACAAAAATAGCTACGAAACATATTCTAAGCCTATATATAATATTTATAAAATATTATAGCTAGTTGAAATTTTATTTTTCAATTATACTCAATTAACGTTTAAGTCCATTGTAATAATATTATGTTATACATTAAGGCTTACGGTGTTAAGAAAAAATAAAAACAAAAAATAAACAAAATAACATTGAATAAATAATAATACATTTCTATATTTTATCGCTAGTATTTTGTACGAATTATATTCTAAATTAGAATGATTTTTTTTTATTATTTTTTTTTTTTGTTTTTTTTTTAAATTTATTACATCAATAATATACTGTTGAAGAATACATAATAATATATAATAGTGAAAACAACAATATATAATACCTATCTTCAGAGGAGTTATTAGAACAATTCAGAGCCGGATTTAAACATTACGGAAACCAGGGAACAGAAAATTTGACTGTCATAGAGTGATCTTTTTATAAGTTTATCATCAAACTCCGTTGATTTTGAGGTAGAACAACTAGTTGACCTAGTAACAGGTGCGACAGCATTATCGAAGTTTAACGTGAGTGCTAGAATGCTTTTATTATTAGCATTAAGGGGTCGGCTTTACACATTTTGTCTAGTATGAATATTTTTTTTTTTAACATTTTATTGTTCACCTTATAAAATAAGAGTTATTCACAATCTACTAATCGTTTAAATGGAAATAGTACGGCTGTTTTTATGGGTTAAAATTACTATGCGGAAATAGGTATAACTTCATTGTCAACACAATATTTTTCATGCTTCTATTTTTTAATTGAAAAACAACCATATTCTATAGACTTCATTGAACTCTGATTATTTACTAGATTTCAAAATAACAGTATAATAAAGTCGACAAAAAATATATACAAATTGATCTTTTTTAAAGGCGTATTATATATTTTGATATGAGAATATTGAAAAACAAAGTTCAATACGATTTGTAGAAAGTCTGAATTGCACCACTCTACGAAGCACAAGAGTTTTGCTCATAAGGCGTATTTTCGAGCTAAAAAACGCATAGACATCAGACCTCTTAAAACGATCCAGAATTTCTTTCAATAGGTTAGGTTCACAAATTTACACATCATATTGTACATAGTCCGCCGTTTCCTTTGTGGTGTGTTTTTAATCACTCAACTGTAATAAATCTTCAGGTAATACAATACTACGTATATTAATAAATTGCATTTTCGAATATTCTAAAATAACCGCTTTAATCTGACACCAATTTTCGATTTTCTTTTTATGAATTTCAACTCCGTGGGCCCCGCCCTGACTCAAGCCGATTATATTATTAAATACCCTTACTTTGCAGACGTGACGTTTACAGTCTCTATGTGCAAGCGATTTCAAACCGTCAAAAAAAAAAAAAAATGGGGCTCTCCTGAAAGTCCTCCGGGGTCCGGTACAGGTGCCCTCCGTCAAATTCGGCTCTGAAATAAGTACGTATAGTAAAATTCTGTGTACATAATATTATTAAAAATTACTTGATACCTCAGTCATTAAATAGGATAGAATAGTATTATTTTTAATATTTTATTATGTATAGAACTCAATATTAGAGAAATTAAAAAAAAAAAAAAAATCAATTACGTTATTATAGATATTATATTATTATTTCAATAGTCAATCGCCAAATTCTAAATTACCGGAATCATGATGTACACACACCTATTAGTCGTTAAGTTCACGTTATTTTGTTTTTAAAACGACTCAATCACACTATACTGATGCTGTTAAAATTGTATAATTCGTAATTATTTTAGTGTATTATTATATTATATATTGTCTTCCATTTATTCCTATTTGAAAAAAAAAAATATATATAAATATATATTAATAGGATAATAATGTTTTTACAAATATTTTATTTAAACATAAGTGAAATGTGTTTGAATTTCCAACAGAGAAAAAAAACAAAAAAAATAAAAAACTGCATTTTAATCTAGGCAATTCAATTTAAAACAATTATTGTTACATAATATATTGACAAAAATGTATTAATCTTAATATATTATAGATTCATAAATTTAAAAAAAAAATTATATATATTTACAGCTATATGATTATAATAATAATATTATAAATTATAATATGTATTATTCTCGCCATAGTCTATTATTGTTTACATAGAACTAAATTTATTATATTATCATTACAATATTATTATTATTGTTATATTATTTCATAATTATTGTTACGAGTATTTATTACGATTATATTATTATTATTATTTGTATTATGATTATTATTTTTAATTATTACATATTATTATTATTACTATTATTATTATTATTATTATCATTATCATCATTATTATTATTTATATTATTATTATGGAATATAATATAAAACAGTTAAAACTATTGAATTTATTCTATCGTTAACGAGTGAAAACTATTTATTTATTTATTTTTAATTTTCCTTATAGACTACAAATTAAATAATTAGCAACAGAATGGCCTGCGGTCAACTGATAAAATCGGCAAAGACAATACATATATATAATTGAAAACTAAAAAAAGAATAACGATAAAAAAAAGAAATAGGTATGTATACGAAAGTTTTGTCACAAAAGTTGATAGGAGAAAACTCCGTTGTGGTTTGTTTTAATTATAGTCGAACAAAGAAAAATATGTTTAACAGACCTTATGTGAAAAAGAAAACAAACAAACAAACTATATAAAATGGAATATTAAAATATGATTTGAATTGATAATGTACCTACGTACGATTTGCATACAAGTACAATAGGTAGTCAATGAGTTGTGTTCATGCCTGGGTAACATTCCTACGTATGTTGCCTACCAACAGTTGCGGGATATTAGAATCGTATGATTCACTAAAAAGTAAAGAAATAAAAAGTAGGATGTATAATAATTGTATTTAATTTATGTCTGGTAAATTATTGCTAACGAAATTTGATTCTGAGAAAACATGTTTTGAAATCCCGTAATTTTTCGTCAAAATTTTAACTTAAAATACTTATAACAAATTGGCTACTACATTACACACGTTTAATTTATTTTTTTCTAAGAAACTAAAGGCAATATTCGGTTAAGTGACGGTAAAAGTGTCGGTTACGGCAATCCGTTCTTATAACATTCGATTAACGATTGTAACTAATCGGCAGTTTTACCGATAGTGATTCCTAAAGCAACCACCCATGACCAAATTTTATTGTTCTACGCATGCGCAATTCTTAAGTTATCATTTAATATTGATATTATCATCTATACAGTCAGATAATTCGTTATAAATAATATAAATGTTGTAATGTAATATTTTCTTGTCTTTTTACAAAACAAAACTCAGTATGAAAATATTCATATTGATTATTGATATATTCTTCATTACTTATTTAACGTACAGACTAGTAGCGTCTTAACTATTTAAAACATGTCAACAAATAATGAGAGACCAAGTAGCAGTAATTTTTCTACACCAGAAGAGTACGTTGGTCAAGTTGGCTACAAAACAAACTGTTGTCTAATAATAATAAAAATAATAATTTTAGGTAGTTCTTGTATTCTCAAAAAATTTTCCGTTTCCTAATTACAGTATTCAATTCTAAAATTTCACTTTCGTAATCTGAAGAATTACTTTCAATCAAACCGCAGTTATGCATTAGCATATTGCTCTTTTCATAATTTTAACAAAAAATTAAAAACAAAACAAAAAAGTATACACTATACAGATAAACTCAAGATAAACTCATAAAACACAAAATTAATAATACAGAATAAATTATTAATAACAATAATCATAAAAATAATTGTTTAAGTATTGTATAAGTACCTATTAGTAACACAATCTGAGAGATTTTAGTTTAACCGGAGGATAACCAACAGAATTCCATCTGTTAAAAATCCGACAGTAAAACCTCCGGTAACCGAAGACATTTTCCTTAACCAACGTATGTAATAATCAACTGTTGGTTAAATTTCAGTTTAACTGCCGGTTAGTGATAACCGATACTTAATCGGACATTGTAAGAATGGGCCTAAGTTACATTTATAGTGAACCTTGTGGTAAATTTTCAAGTATTTCTATTCAGCAAAATAATGTTATCCACATTAAATCAAATAAAAAATTTAAAAATCCGAAAATATAAAATTTTTAAAATTGCTGTGTAAACTTTCACAATTTCAGACAATTATTTAAAAAAAAATACACAAACGATTTTTTTAAGAAAAGATATTACACTTAAATTATAAAAACTAGAAAAACAATATCGAACGAATTTCAAGTAATAACATCATTTACATGGTATTAATAACTCCGTTAATTTGATGCGGACTTCTTTTTGAGAGGGGTACGATCTCCTGGGAGACATCTCACTAAGAAAAAATCTACCTCAGCGAAAACGGTTTTATATTCGTACTAAATATCTAGAGACCGTCTCAAACTAAGATAATCTTAACAATGTCTACTATTAATGGCAGATATTAGCAAGGTTCTCTTTTCCATGAATGTCCTTCTATTTGGTATGAATCCTCCTGAAACACGAGATACCTGTAACGTCTTACCGAATGCAGTTTGCAAATGACCGCTGAAGGTGAGGTGAGAGTTTAGACGAAAACCCAAGTTTTGCATATTCTTTTTTATAGGAATCGAAAGTCCTTCCAGTATTGGCTCAGGTAACACGAAGGCCTCCGTCTTTTTATGTGCGAGCTGAAGACCGTGATTGCAGGCGTTCATCCAGGTATCAATGACCGAAAGCGTTGGATTGACCACTCCTTTGAGTATGTCGAATGTACTCGTTACTGTGGGCTAGACTCCCATCGAAACATCAGCCCTCAGAAGGCTATGAGAAATGCATATATTCGTTTGTTATAAGTTTGACATCTTGTTTTGTATTCTATTTGTATTTTGTTACATAAGTTTAAAAATTACATACGAGTATCGAATAATGATAGCAGGTATAGATTATTAAGTTAGCTACCTGACTGTTTTATTTTAAAATGTTGTCAGTGTTGAAAATAAATCGAATTAATAAAGGTTAATTTTATTCAAAAATTAATATTATTATTTTTATTATTTACATAAAAAAAACATCTAAAATACATATTGGGTTATTGGAAAAAAGAAATATATAACACTGTTTGCATAAATAATAATATTAATTATGGTCATTGATAGTATACGGGTAAAGAAAAACACATGAACATACCTATATAATAAAAAGTAAATATTTGTTAACTTAAAAAAAAAGTATACATTTCAAAAATATTCTGAATATATTTTATATTTTTGATGTTATAATATCATTAAAGTTTGTGTATCGAACCGTGCATATTGTTATCATTTTGACAATAACATATTATAGCGGCGTACAAAAACGGCATTATTTGATGATTGGTTTTAACATAATATTATTTTCGAAAAAAAAAAACGAACGTAATTGAATACCTACCAATGCGTCAGTGATATTGTTTGAGGTTTTTTTTCGTTCTTAACTTAACATTTGTTAAAATATTATAGATACACATACAAATATCGTATTTCTCAAAATTGTTCAACGTTATATAACATCATTTCGACGAAGTTTATGACGAATATTAAGTTTAATAACTATAACAATACAATATAAAGTTACCTTTAACAGACTTTTAGCAGCGTAAACATTCTATCAATACTATTATGATATGTATTGATGGATGTAGTTGTGGTGTGAAGTATTTTTATCTTGAATCGTCAATTTCATGAAATAAAAATAATACATGTATAATAATAAAATTATTTATCAAAAAAAAAACACTTCAAAGAAATTAGCGTCCCTTACAATTATTGGGGCACACTCATGTCCAGTATCAGCTCTTTTTTTGTTTTACATCGGATAAAAAAAGTCGTGAAACCTAAAATTTTCTCAGTATAAATTGTTGGAAATCTATCTCTAAAAATGTTATTTGAAAATTCAAAGTTTATATATGTGTTTACAGATTAAATACACGAAACATCGATGCAACCGTGATATCGATAAATAGTGATAGGTATTATCGTACATTTTAAATTAGGTGATTATCATTTATTTTTCATACACTTTAATGTTAAGATATTATGAACAAATAATCTTTTGTTAACATCATAATTTTAAATTGTATATAAAAAACAGTTTCATGTACATTATATTTTTAAAAAATTGAAAATTTGGAAGGTAGTACCTACCTGTTTATGACCAAAAAGTGATTCAAAAGTAAAACAAATTTACAATACCGTGGAATAATCACTGTTTTTCTTTTGTTTTGTTCAGTCTATAAAGTTTTGAAAAAACTTTCTATCAATTTGAAAGATATTAGTCATTATTTGAGAAAAAATATATTAGTTTAAATGGTTTTTTTCTCCAGAAAACAAAAAAAAACAATAACGTTATTTTGTTCTGTTTTATTTTTTTATTTATGTTTTAACCTCGACAATGGGGTCATTGGTTCGTTTTAAACAAAATACACTAACCCAACAATAAACAAATAACAAGTTAGGAAAACTTTTCTAAACATATTTTAAACAATCAATTATGATTGCATATACGATTTTGAAAGAATTGTATAACCTAATAAAATATGCTTATGTGAAAAAGACCTAAATAAGTGAAATATCTTAGTTTTTAAATAGTTAATAAGACATTTTTTTAAATTCTTATATATTGTAATATTATAATGCTGGTAGTTACTAGGTACCTATTTTTTTTTTAATATTGGCTATTATGAGTTAAACACTCAAATTTAAATTAATAATATAATATATAAGTATTAATTATAATATCCTAGTCGATCAAACCAAAACAGTAACTCTGTGTATTATAAGTAACTATACGGACAGACGGATACAACGAGAACATAAAATATTCTTAACTCTTTTAGATCAAACTTATACTTCGAAACCTAAAAATGATAAACTATATTATTTTGAAATAGAGATCATCAAATAGGTATAATAAATCTAGAATAATAAAAAATATCTAAATAAATAATACAAATATATGCGCAATCGTCTATGTCTTATACATTATACAATTATAATTCTAAAAACGTAACAAATAGTAACTGGTTGTTTTCATAATAGTTAAGTTGGTAATCACTTACCATGTTTAATAGTATATTATTTGGAAACATTTTGCAGCAGTAATGTTTTCTTTATCTCCAACACAAGCTGTATAGCTTACAGGAGGTAGGTAAATCAATCTGTACTTATATGATAAATATCT